ACAATTTCCAAAATCATAAATATCTCAAATCACAAATGCTATGGTCGTGGACTAGACTAGAGTGGGTTTTATTTTAAACTTATGGCCCGTTTGATATGATTACTGCTTTTGCTTCATGTATGAAAGTTTCTTGAGAAAATTACGTTAATTTTTGTTTAGAAATTAATTTCTAAAAGAACTTTCTATTTCAAAAGTGATTTTAGAGGAAGTCACATTGAATCAACTTCTTTTAAAAACTCTTCTAATTAGAAGAAGCACTTCATAAAATTAGTTAAACGGATTCAAAACTTTTGAATTCACTGAAGTCATGTTATATGGGTCCTTATATCATTTTGACAACCTTTTAAAATCCATAAATACCTCAAATCAACTAAAGTTTCCCTACTTTTAACCATACATTCTCAAGATGTTTGTTTTCCACTTGAAAAAATCTATCCAAAACAAACACCGCCAATAAGTCACACAAAATATTCAATCTAATACATGCTAGCGTATATTACTTTCCTAATCTCTGGTGATTGGGTCGATTAAATATTTTTCTATTTATTCGAACTATATTCATTAATCGATCTATCTCATTTGCGTTGTGTGTGTATCTATATACACACACATGAATGATCTAATGAGGACCAGTGACGTGTCATATAATTTCATTTGTGGATAAATTTATGATAGGTCTCAACATTTGAATTAAGTTTAAAATTCAACAATGAATTTATATGATACATCATCGATACTTAACATAAAATGAGTACAGGTGCTCATTAGATCATTCTTGTACATATATAGAGCATGTTACTCAGAGAATATAATACATACAAGAAAAGATGGTAGATAAAAGATCAACATTTCAAGTCTCCAACTTTGCTTTTGGTTGTAAACTAAAGCCATTCAAAGCTAAATTCAATTGTGTTAAGTATTTATGTGGTAACAATGAACGCAACCCTTGGCAGGGAGGTCGACATGCTACCAATGGGAGGCATACACACTTCCAGCCGCTCAATTAGCAATCGTTCAATCAGCAATCATTTGTTCAATCAGCCATCTGCCATTTCTGCCTAAACCATTTTCCGATTTCCCTTTTCAAATTTCTTAAAATTTTCTCAAGTCACCTAACCACTATTTGAGTCGTCGATCGCCATCGCCGTTGCCGCTTTATTCCCTTTCCAAACCCAGGAAATTTAACAATTTCATAAATGCACCCTTGTCAGTACTCCGTGTTTATCTCCAACGTTTGAAAGGTTTCTATACTTTATGATCGAAGTAAGATTTTTGGTGTGAGGAATTGAAAATATGTGCTACTTTTTATGGGTAAATGATTTTGATTGGCCAGTAAAGGTCATGTTTATCATAATAAAGTTGATTGGTTGTGGATGAGGTGAAATGGTGGATGGAAACATTAATGTTTTCTTTTTGAAATTATTGGTGCAATTGTTGGTTTTTATTTGATCATTTTATCTATTTTTATTTTGATTTCACGTGTCTATGAGGAATTTTTCTTTTTTTTCGATGCTTGGGATTTTGAACACGAATTTGGTTTTGCTTGTTATCTTGGATGCGTATGAAGGATATGGGCATGTCAAAGTATATTGATTTGATTGTGCTCGCGTAAGGGAGGCATTTTCTGCTATTAACAAACTTATTCTTGAGCGAAAGGGAACCATTGTTTCATTGGCAGTATTGACACAAAAGTTTGGAAGGAAATCTAGCGACATGAGGTGGAATCATTCGACATATTAGTTAAAATTGTTTGATCTTTAAAAAAAAACAAGAAAGAAAATAATGACTTAACATTGTCGAACGTGATATTTTTCATGAGATATAATCTTGAAGAATGTAACATAGAAATTTTGTGTTATCAAATAACAAACAGTTGGCTCGGCTGAATCTGAGCGATATTTTTTGTTTTTGTAGCTATTCCACTCTTGAGATCTCTAGCCTACTTCTGTACTTATACAAGTCTCGCTTGCAATTCACTTTAGGAATTGGAACTTAGTTGTTAAGTGACTAAATGTGTGCATAGAAGTGGGCTTAGCTTAGGTCCCAAAGAACAAATTGGTTAAGCAATATTTAGGTGGTCAAAATGTACTTAACATTTCTATATAGAGGTGGAGTTGAAGGATGTAGAGGCTGTTGAGGAAACCTACCTGGAAGCCATTGAATAATGAAGTGTCCACCTGCAATGGCAAACTTTTTGAGTAGACTAATAATATTTTTAGAATTATTTAGATACACTCTATATTTTGGCATATTTTATATACTGTAACATTTTTGTTTATGGAAACTATGAAAAACATGATTATATTATTTAATGTATACAATTTTGTTCTTTAATTATTGTAGGTTCGATGATAATCACATAAATAAACAATTTTAAAAAGTAAATTGATTGCTTTAATGTCTGTTTTTTACGACATGCATATGTATGCTTTTATGGCATGCTTTGTATGCCATAAAAAGAAGGTGAGTATTTACGGCGTGCTAAGTAAATTAACAGCACCATTTTGTTTTTTACGGCACACATTGTATGCCGTAAAGAACTTTTTACTACGGCATGCATGCCGTAAAAAGCAAACTTTGTTGTAGTGTTCCCACCTTGTAAACTAGTATCGCTATGATATGTTGATTCTACAATGAACATATTGAACATTTGTATAATTCATGACCTTATATAGGCGTGTTTGTGTGTATATACTTATCCCAGTGCCAATGACAATGATCATGGAAACTTCTGCAACAAGTTGGTTGGATTATTTCCATTATGAAGTTCATTTTCAGCCTATGGCATTACAGATGGTTATGCTTAGCACTGTTACGACATATTGAATATGCTCGACTAGATAACATTGTTTTTTTTTTTGTGTGCTTATTTATTACTGCACATCAAACATATTTAGCAAACAGTTCTAGACAGAGACGACATTTCTTTAAACCAGAATTTTGCATATTTCTCTTGTTTTATACTTCATGCTAAGCCCACCCCACCCAATACCCAAGAAAAACTCAATTATATATTTTTTAATTTTTCTCTAATATATCCGTACCCCCACTCTAAATTCAATTATGTTGGACCTGTCATTGGAGACAAGAGTGCAATCACAAAATTCTGAGATCCATATAATTTAATTTCTGAGAGGTATTCATCTGCCATAAAGAAGTACCAACAACCATCAAGCAATGTCACCATCTCAATACAAGCCAAGTGTTTTGCAGTATTGTTTTATTCTATATATGATGAAAATGAGTTTCCAGCTAAGATTATTAAGAGAAGAGACCAGAAATTTTCAGGCTAGGGGACCATCAACTGATAAATGGGTGTGGAATTAGATGAAATAAAGATCCACCTGTTGGGACCAAGTCGAGTTCAGCTTGCGATACGCTAGGTCGAACAAAACTGAATAGGATCAAGAAAGATAGACACGTCAATTGTATATCCATTAGTTTAAAGACTTTCATATTACATCAGAACTGAAATGCGGTTAACGAAAATACGAAAAATAAATGTGTTTAAAATGTATTTTGAACACTAGGAATGAAGTGTCGAAATTCAGAAACCATAATTCTATACCACCAAGAACAATAAAATTGCAGGAAAGATACACGCAAGAAAATGCAAGATTTATAGATATTCACATTGAAACCGCTTCATCTTCCGCGCTGTACTAATTGACTATAAGGGTGTGTTTGTCTCCCATTATTGGGGGGAAAATAAAGTAATGAATAGTATTTTTTTGGAAAATGTGTGGTTGAAAAGTAAAGTAACTTTATTGATTTGTATGTAGAATATTTTATTAGATGAATGTGTGGTGGAGAATCTTACTATAACAAACAATTTTTTGGAATAATGGTAGACAAACAGGGGCTAATCAAAACAAGTTTATAAGAGAAAATTATACATCCTATCTTCTCTAATCTCACTTTTTTTTAATAATAATACAAAACCCTAATGGTTGCTCTATATTAAGACAAATTAGGACAAATTTAAAATTACAAGTGAAATTTCTAAACTGTTTTTGATGAAATTTTGATCGATCCATGTACCGACTCCACACGCGGGTAATAATTAGCCTCCACAAATAAACATGAAAAATGTTAGGTTTCAAGATTTCTGGTTGGGCTGCTTGTTAATACAAAAGGCTCCTCAAAAGAAAAATCATTTGATGTTGTCAACCCTTACCAAAGGCTAAGTTGCTAATAAAGAGAATTAAATGACAATTCAACATATGTAGGTATTTACTAATTAAAAGATGAATAAATAAGCAAGATTCAACATTGTAATATTGCCACCCAGTAGGCTATTAATGTTTAGTTGACACATCCACCCCTACCCTATCCTACCCTACCCCACCCCACACCACACCACACCACACCACACAACCACCTCCAATCTGTTCTACTGATTCTGAAACATGACCTCTCTCAGATGCTCCCCAAAAATCCAAGACATGTAAAAGATCAGTTATTCTATCAATTTTTTTATGCAGAACTAAGGAAGTTGATGGAGATAAAGCAAACAAGAGGATACAGCCTAATTGTTAGTTCTCACTCTCTCTTTGAATTCAAGAAACCAGTTCTTGGTATCACAAAACACGCAAAACTTAGAATCTCGTGCTAAATTATATATATGGGGATGTGCACGGTCGATAGTCAAGAAAGTCAATGACCTGATGGAGCAAGCATTCAAAGGAAAATATAAAATGGTAAGGAGAGCAATTATGAAAATTAGTTCATCAAGAAATAAACCTAATTCATGACAGAATTAATCAGATAGCAGCAAAACAACAAGTTCAACAAGAAAAACAGAAAGAAATTCAAATGGCTTGAACCAAAGTTGAGTTTTACTAAGTCGCTCGGATAAGATAATATGAAAGTAAAGCTGAAATATTGAACAACTGATACATATAATAGCAAACTGGGATTGAAAAACCTGAAACTAGACTCAGTATTCTTCTTTCCCACAGTCGGCGTCATTGAATTTAACTCACTAAAAGAACCGCAAATCATCTATGACAGTGAATACTTGCATTTTCAAGGATTCTCTTATAGGACAAACAGATAACATCCCGGAAATTGAGCCCATTGTAATAGTATCTGCTGTATCATAACATAGTGGATATGATATGGAGATTGAATATAGTTAAAATAAATTAAAAATTGGAACTTAGAAGATCACCTGTTAGGGAAGAAGAGAGCAATTCCAGCTATGTGAAGTAAATTCAATGGTGAGAATCAGAGGAAGCAGAGGATGGCCTGTCGGTATATCCACCGCGCTCCTCTTTATCACCTTGAATTCGTGCAGGAATGTGAAACCCTGAGAATCCGCCTACCGTAGAGGTGAATTCAACACCAGATATTGATGATGGATAAATTGGCACGGCTGCTGGATTGTGATGATGCTGGTGGCTATGGTCAGCCGTGGTGTTAGGTATGGTTGACTGATCTATCCATGCACGAATTGAAGGTGTGTTACTGGACTGAAGGGGTCCCCCATGAGAAAAAAACTGGCTTTGGCCTAACAGCCGCTGCAGCACTGGCTGCGGTGCTGGCTGCGAAGTGAACAGATATCCGGCTGCTCCACCATTCCCACCGGAGATATCTCCGCCGGTGTTCCAAGGAGCCAGCCCCTGGAACCGGCTTATTTCTTTGGGCTGGTGCTGATGATGTTCAGACCACCCTGCATAGCAGCCATCAAATCCCAGTAAGGTGGTTCCATTGACTGGGACTTGATGCTGAGAATATGCTGCTTCAGTGTTGTGGGTGTGGTTCTTGTGATGAGGCGGCCGAGGCTGCTGGTGGTGGAGCATAAGTGGATCTTGAAATGACTGCAAAGAGAGCCTCAGATCCTGACTCTGGCTTCTGGTTCTAGAAGTACCTATTGGGAAACATGACTTTATGGTATCTGCAATGGTATCCGAATCCAAGGATGGAGGAAGAAAACTTGCATTGGGATCCGCATTACTGCTCCGGTGCAAAACTTGCAGCCCATTTTCATTTTCCGACATTGTCATTGCCATTTTACTCGAAGAACCTGCAATATTAGGGTCCACCACGCGAGCCTGTTCTTGCTCAAAAATAGCATTTTCCGCCGAAAAAATTGTGGGATTACTTGCAGGAAGTTGCTCGAGCTCATCAATGGCTGGCTTAGCCTTTTTGATGAGCCAATCCATCACCTTGCTAGGGCGGTCACAGCCAAGCCGATCCTGGAGATCGTAAAACTGAATAGCAGTGTGAGCGGCGAGGCGTACACGGCGGTCCCTAGGGCCTTTGGAGGTGCATACTTTACTGTGCCGGTCCTTTCTCCCGGTGGACCGAACAATGTGGCAGCCTTGGACTTCACCTATATCACCTCCAGTACGGTTCCTCAGCCCTACTCTTGACGGTATTTGTTGGCTACGAGTATTCTCTTCCATTTTTCTCTGCAATCTTTCATGTTCAGCACTTGCCTCAAGGGAAGCAGATGAATTCAAGAACAAACGTTTTTTGGGAGACGGCGGTTCTAGTGGTTCTTCATCACCTCCTTCACCTTGTTCTACATATGTAGTGTTTGTTACTACCTGATTTTGGTTCTGATTCAGATGAAAATTACGGCGAGGAATCCTAACAGTATCCAGACTCAAACCCTTCTTGTGAATTTCTTGTTCCACTTCTTTATTCAGAAAACTTTTGAAATCTTGTTTATAAATTACAGTTGTGTTTCTGCAAAATCTGAAACTAATTCCATTAAACTTTCGGAATCCCCTCAAAGAACAGATCGTTAAACCATAACTAACCCATCTTTGTGCTTCTTACTTTTCACAGCTTTCGATTATAGGGATTAGGGCTATCTAGATCTAGACACGCTAGTCTAGTACCTGTTTTTACCAAACCTGCAGGAATCAAAGAGAGAGATAAGTTCGCTACTAGCTAGAGTTCTATGCCAGTTGAATATCAAAGCTAAATCAAGAACCCTTCAGTTTTTCTTGAAAAAATTTCATTTTCCTTAGCTTAAACACAGTAACTAAAAGGTAATGGTAATTAAAAGAATTTGCCTTACCACAAAACTCTCTCTATATATGTGGGTAATTTATATATAGGTGGCAGTGTTTGCACAGAAGCCTTTGCATCTGATGTTTTTGTACACCCTGGAAACATAAATACCAACACAGGAACACTCTTTTTATTTCATTTACAGCTAAGACCATGTTTGGTTGAGGTTATAATATTTACTTAAAAAGCTTGGCTGGGTGGCAAAACTTCAAGTTTTTACGAGCCTGAGCCAGCCTATCGCTAAGTTTAGATGTCAGAAAACATAAAGCGTGCCTCGACGGCATCTAGATGCACTTTTCAGAACATATGCCGGTAAATTATAAAATAAATAATCTTTTTCCTGTTTTAGAAAACTTTTGCTTGTGATTAAGCATAGCCAAACATGTTGGCAACTTTCGCTGTTACTGCTAACCCTTGAAAATGATCTGTCAGTGCTTTTTGGTTTTTTCCACCTCGCTTTTTCACTGTTTCTCTCTTTATTTATTGCTTCATCTCTAAGGAAAGGAATGCATATCATCACATTGACTCGAAAATGGTAAAATTTTCAGTCCAGTAGAAATCGAATCCATGTATGCGAACCGGTTGGATGGAGTTGCTATCCAAAATTCAATTTTCATTTCAGATGAGATTACATAAATACAAAATTATTCCTAGCGTGCAAGGCATGCACAAGGAATCGTTTTCGTCATTTGTCAAATGAGTTAAATATGTGATCATAGTCGCATGAAGGTTGGCATATCCAAAACTGACTCATTTTGTCTTAAATTGAACTCGACTTAATATTCCGACATATTTACTTAGAGTCTGTTTGGTACAGATTTTCATTTTCTACAGTAAATCAATTCTCATTTTCAACCACACATTCTTCAATAAAATAATATTTTCCATCACATCAATACTTTTTTCTTATTTTTCAACCACACAATTCCCATCATATCACTATTCAAAAATCAATTCTTCCCCCAAAAATCTCTACCAAACACAATCTTAAGTCGATTGGATCAGTTCGATTTGTCGGGTTCAAAAATATAGTTTCCTTGAAAATCAATTTTTTAAACCTATCCCCTCACCCAACATCCCTCCAGACTGATTCAAATCAGTTTGGTTTGACGGTTTGAATCGATTTGATGGATGATTTCCCAATTCGTGGTTATGGGATATCATTTGGTATATTCAATTCAATAAATTAATAAAAAACTAATTGACACAATACCCCCAAACTTTTGCATGTTTTATAGAATACCCGTTTATTTTTTTATTTTAGCGCAAAAAGTCCCTGGATGATCCAAATGTTGTGAAATACCCCCTACCGTCCAATGTTGTCTCGTTTGAAATGAATTTTGAATGCCAAAATCAATAAAAATATCAAGGATGTTTTTGTCTCATCATCTCCACATATTTGCTTAAAATATTTTTGTTTAAAAGTCAAAGTAGAAAAGGAACCAAGGAGAGAAATCTATGTAGAAATGCTCGATAATCCACCAAAAAATCCAAAATCAACATACAATTTTCACATTTTTGTACACATAAGAAATCTCTACACGCCATTGTACTGAAATTTTCACATAGATAAGCTGAATATTCACGTTTTCAGATCAGTGTTTAGATAAATTTGTGGACATTTGATATGTGTTTGTAAATTGGTTTGATAACGTTGAATTTTTTTCGTCCATACAGTTGCTGTTGGTTAAGGTCTGTTGTGTTAGTATTGGTTTCTGTCTATAGTGAAGTACTGAAGTAAGGATTCACGGGTTTGGATGGATAATTGGTGTTTCGATAGTTTCTTTTGCTGCAGGTTTTCTATTCTGATTTAGAGTTTATTTCTACAAAGTTTACCAATTTCAAGAGTGTATCCTACAAAGTTTATCGATTATAGAGTTGTATTAGTAATGTTTACCCATTCTATGGTTGATTTGCATACAAACATTTAAACATGTCTTCTTCTTCCTCAATACAGCTATACATCCCAATTTCAAATCAACACCAAAAACACATTGAAAATAGAAAAATGAAATCAGTCTCAGTCCCTATTATAAATCATAACAATTTCAAACCCGATTTCACCGTCATTAAAATGGGAAAATGAAATTTAAAAAAAATCAAATTCAATTTCTTCTAATTTCAAGCCAATTTCATCTTCTTCTTCTTTGCCCAGTCCCATTATTGCAAGCAAATTCAATTTGCATTTCATATTCTAAAATGAAAATTTAAAACATTCTTGTTTTTGATTGCCCTTAATGTTTTTATTAATTTTGGCCTTCAAAATTCATTTTAACGGAGAACTTAATAGATGTGGACATCAAGGGGAGTTTTCCACAGTATTTGGATGATTAAGTGCATGTTTGATATTCTTTAATTTATTTTATAATATGCTATAGGACAATTTTCAACCACATATTCACACAATAAAGGGCTTATTTAAAACTTTTTTTTTTTTTCGAAAAATCCATTTTGTAATAGTATTATGATGAAAAATGTGCGGTTAAAAATAAGAAAAAAATTTGAATTTACATGTTATTGAAAAATATGTGGTTGAAATGTAGTCAAATAATTGTTCAAGAATACATTTTGATGGAAAAAATGGGGCTCAAAACAGAGAAAAATTTCTACTTTTTAACCACGTATTTTCTTAAAAATCACTATTCAAAATTCTTCTTTCTACTAAAATGGTTGTCAAACAGACTCTTACAGGGTTTTGCACCAAAATGAAAGAATAAGGTGTTTTCCGCAAGTTAGACAAAAGTTAGGGGTGTTATGCTAATCATCCTTAATAAAAAGGGAAAATTGTTGCCAAGGTACCAAACTTTTTATTTAATAGCAGACTTTGTCCAAACTTTTCATTTGTGTCAACCAAAGTATCAAATCTTTCAAAAATTAGCACCTGGGATCACAATGGATGATTTCCGTTAATTTGATCGTTAGTTAACCAAAAGTCCATGGTCTAACGAAGTGTTGACTATTGTTTAGGTAAATTTACATTTTTTATATAAATTAAAATAATTAAATAATAAAAAAAGTTAAAAAAATAATCCCACCCACCCACCTACCCCGCCCAAACCATCTCCTTCTTCCACATCTCCATACAACCCCTTCCCTTGTCCTAAAATTGTCGTCACAACCACCGCCACCCAAGTCGTCGACCACCACCGCCACCTAGGTCGACTACAACAACCGTTTCTAATTCACCTAATTTAAACGAAGGAAAGAGAAAAAAAAAATAATTCGAGACTCATCCACCTTCTTCCTCTCTTTCTACCTTCAAATCCACCACTTTTATTAAACAAATTCAAATCAAGGAAGAAGAAAACAAAGATTTGCGAGAAGATAGCAAAGAATTCGACTGTTCCCTTCACCAAATCCTCGGCTGAAGCTCTCAACAACTCCTTCAAATTAAACACCCTATATTTTGATTAAGGAACTTTATTTTCAATTTATTTCTATAATTTGCTCTATTATTTTTCAGTTTCAAGTAGTCATATTTGTGTTTCGGATTTGAAATTCGAAATCGGATTTGTTTTTTAGATTTTGCCATTATTGTAGTGTAAGTGGTAGTGCTATTAAATGAAGATGTTGATGGTGATAAAAGGATATGGTGGAGAGATGGTGGAGATGGCGTGAATGTTCGATTGAGATGATAATCAGCTTTAAAGTTGAACACAGAGAGCTCAAAGGCGAGCACTATTACATGTTCCTCTCCGTGATAAAAGTTTGGAGGTTGAGGCGAAAGCGGCTGGCAGTGGCAAGTGGGTGTGGCGACGTTGTTTGAGAGAGTTGCTATTGCCAGTTCCTCTCCAGCATTGAGTGGGTGCGGTTGAGTCGTATGGTAGTGGTGGTGATGGGTATGTGTAGGGTAGATGGAGAATAAGAAGTTGGTTTTTAATTTTTAATTTAATTTTAGTTATTTTATTATAAAAAATGTGAAGTTACTATTTTAAACTTTTAAAATTAATCAAAATTATTGTCAATGTCAATTATTTGATTAGAGATGCAAAAAAAAACCACCTCGGCCCGTCCCGAATGGGGCGAAAAAAACCTCCTCGAGGAGGTTGGCGAGGCGTGGCGGGGCGAGGAAGGGCGCCCCATCTCGGGTCGAGGGGCGGGGCGGAGCATTGAACCGTTAAAAAAAAAAATCCATGTATTCTCTGTTAGAATACATAATGAATAAATGTTTTTTGGAAGTAGAGTTATGGATTTAGGTTCTTAAATTTGATGAACAAATGTTTTTGGAAGTAGAGTTATATTTTTCCTATAGGCCCGTGAACCGTTTAAAAAAAGTATCCATGTATTCTCTGGTAGAATATATGATGAACAAATATTTTTTGGAAGTAGTGTTATGGATTTATGTTCTTAAATTTGATGAACAATTTTTTTTTGGAAATAGAGTTATTTTTTTCCTTAACCGTATAATTGGAAATTTTTTAGAGCAAAAAAAAAAATTATAAAAAAAATAAACGGGGCAGGAAAACAGTCCTGCCGCTCTCCCCGCCCTAAGACGGGGCGGGGCGAAGCGCAGGAGTGGCGGGGTAGGGGCGTCCCGCCCCATTCCGTTCCCATCCATATATTTGATCAACTAACGATCAAACTAACGGAGATCATCAATTTGGACCTCAAATGCTAATTTTTGAAAGGTTTGGTGCCTTATGTGACACCAATGAAATGTTTGGTACTGTCATTGCGATGATCTCTAATAAAAACAAAAAGAAGATAGAAGAAAAAGAAATAAAATGTTTAAAAAATGAGCAATACTACATGTACAAAAAAAAGTACTACCAGATTATTTATGGATACAATTGGCAATTTTTCATTTGACAAGGAAAACAAAAAAATTAGAAAAAAAAGTTGACCAATCACAGCAGCCCCTGTAAAACATTGGCAAAAATTTTCTGTGCACTTATCTTTTCCTCGAAAAAAATACACGCTGTGTAGGAGGATAAGGTGAGCGAAACTCAATTCAAAAGCGAACTCTCCACCTGTCAACAAAGAAATCCCCAAATTCCAAAACCTAACGAGACATGCTCATTTTACCGCCAAAATACCAATGCTCCATTTCTCTCCACCGCTCCACCGCCCGCTCTGCCTCTCTCCGCCTCCTCGAAACCCAAGTCTTAGTCCGACCCGAATTTTCAACTTCATCCATTTCGATAAACTCGCCGATTATAAATTCATATGGCTCGGGTCAGCCTGTACACGAAAGCTCTGGGTTCATCCCACTGTAAGATCGTTGTCATCACTATCTTCTTCTTCTTATTACAATTCAATAGGCGATAGTGACGATTTTGATGTGGAATTGGGCCGTCTTCTGGCGCTTTTGCCTGAGGAGATGCGGCGGAGGGTAAGCGAGCATCCAGAGCTCCGGGACTTGATTGAGGTGGTCATGGATATGGGACGAAAGCCTCTGGCTCGGTTCCCGTCAGGTGACTATATCTTGTCGGATCACCCGATCACCATAGAGGATATCCAATACGCCACTTCACAGGTATAGTAATATTTGTTTTTTAATTCTCATTTTGCCTCCATTTTTATTTTGAGATTCTGCTCAATTTAAAGTCTGATTAGTTTCTGATAAACGTTATTTTTTTTTTTTATGATAGTTTAATCTGAGACACATTCTTACTTTATTATGATGACGATGATGCCTTTTTTTGGTGTCTGCATAATAGGAAGGAAAAGCAAAGAAATGAGAAGATACTTTGTTTCTTATTTATTTATTTATTCTGCGAAAATTATGTAAATAAACACTGTGCGAATAAAGATTAATGAAATAAATTGGCATTTGTGTTCTATTTGCTTCTTCCAATTTTAATTTATACAACGCAACATAATTACTGAATTACACATGGTCTCTGTCGTAGTAGAAGTAAAAACAGGAGGAAAGTTAGCTTCATGTCTTCGATCATTTCCTTTTGTTTTTCCTCCTCAAACAACGGAAATGCAATTGAAATGTTGCTACTTACTGGTATTTACGTTACAGGTTGGTGACTTTGCTGTTGATAACAGAGCAGGAATTAGTAGAACCTTGCACCGCATTAGCGCCGTTAGGAATCGGAAAGGTGCAATTATTGGTTTGACTTGTCGTGTTGGTCGAGCAGTGTCTGGAAGTGCCAACCTGTTGAGAGATTTAGTTGAAGCTGGGGCTTCTCTGTTACTTATTGGGCCCCCAGGGGTGGGGAAGACCACTATTATCAGGTTAGTATCTGTATGTGCCTATAAGAAAGACACACTAGTTATTCTGTCTCCATGTTCTAGTGATGCTAGTTCACCATATCCACATTTATGATTTTCCGTTGCAAGAAATTATTTGCTAGTTTTTCAGCAAGTAGCTAATTGTTGTTTTGACCTACATATCCTATATCCTAGGGACATAGCTCGTATGCTTGCAGATGACTACCAAAAGCGTGTAATGATTGTTGACACCTCGAATGAGATTGGTGGGGATGGGGATATACCTCATGCTGGAGTAGGTAACGCTCGGAGAATGCAAGTTCCGCATACTGATATGCAACATAAGGTGTGAAATGCAGTTACCTTTCTATGTAGTCAACAAAGTTAAAATGCAATTAGAGCAACCCAGTCCCTTCAAAAGTGTGCATATGATTACAGATATGACATGAGGAATTAAATAATTCTAGGTGAACTCTTTTAACAAACTACAAAGTGATATTTTGGATTAGCATCTAGTCAACTATATATATGCGAAGTTATGACATTGAGTTTACTCAAAAATATATGTTCATGGTGAGTTCTTTGTTAAACATATACTTGTTTCATTTTAACATGTATTACTATCAGTGTTACTTTTATCATTCTTTTTTTATTTTATTTTTTTTGCTTTGGAGCTTTTCACTTTTTATGCAACTTAGATTTTTATTTATTATAGTTTTACTCTTAAGATGCAATAAATTTTTGGTTGTTCAAATGAGTTCTCTACTATTAGAAGTATGCCTCTATAATGGAATAGTTTGTGGTAGGAAAATGAAGTCACACTGAGCTGATGACTTGGTAGTTATGAAAACTCAAGCAAGAAATTTTGCGTCTTGGAAGGTTAAGGTGATGCAAAATGGTAAAGTGTAAACACACACACACACAGAGGGAGGGAGGGAGGGAGAGAGAGAGAGAGAGAGATCTCAATAATCTATTCAATATTCTATGTAAATCAAATATTCCACTCCTGTTTATGCTTAACATTTCAGACATAGATTTAAATTAACCAAACCATGAAAATGGAAAATTACCTAATTGTAACCCAATAACTATGGATAGGGTATAAAGAAAATAAATCAAAATAAATTCTATAATAGTTCTTATTCTTTTGCCTTAGGTGGATGTGTCTATGGCAAGTTCTCCAAGAATATCCCAAGAATCTCTTCATAAGGATTACTAAATAATATTTGCATTCAATTGTCTAGAAACAAGATGCTTTCAGGCTTGTAAGCGACATTTGTACTAATGTCTATTTGACTTTCCTTCGTTGTGTGCTCCAATATTCTGCATGCCTCATGAGTACATACAAGAACATTTATATGTAAAAAGTTTATTTTGGATAAAGAACATTTTCTTGACGAGAAACTCTCATTCAAATGAATTTCCTACAATTCAGTTTTTGTCAACAGATTACAAACGGTTTGTCATGATCTTTGTTTTTTACCTATTATATAGGTGCTGATAGAAGCAGTTGAAAATCATATGCCACAAGTAATTGTAATTGATGAAATTGGCACAAAACTTGAAGCAATGGCCGCAAGCACAATTGCACAACGTGGAATTCAGTTAGTAGCAACAGCTCATGGAGTAACCATAGAAAATTTAGTGATGAATCCAGCACTGGAAATGCTTGTTGGGGAAGTGCAGGTAATTTTTGATAAGTGATTAATGTGTTGGAAAAGTTAAATAACGCCATCTCTATTGATGCCAAATGGAAATGCTGATCTTGATCTCACAGGCATGTACCCAGTCAACCAGAAAATGGGGTACCCACGAAGAGTATGTCTACTAAGTCATGCAAAAATCACAAACAAAATGGTTTTCTCCTAAGTGAATCAAGGAAATATTGATGTATCCTTAGGGGGAAATATGTCTTAATCAGGCTAAATGATGAGAGGATTTCCATAATGGAACCTCAAATTTTTAAACAGAAGATTATGGATGAATTTTTTTTTCTGGGAATTACGACTGGATACGCTTTGCCCAAATGATTTGTCTGAAAGATCTAATAATTCCTTAAAAGCAAGTGAAATCTTGGTCAATCACATAACGTGTAATTTGTATTGTTAATGAGGAAATAATCTCTGTTCACATTTCGGAATTGTTCGATTTAATTCCAAGATTAATTAGGTATTTCATTTGGTATTGTATGTATAAATATGTACATGCATATATGAATGTGTGCGCGAGAACGTGTGCTTGTTATTAGGGAATGAAATATGAATGATGAGGATCGTAAAAGGTAGAAGTTAAGAGCGAACGTATAATTAATAGATAAATGTTCCTCACGCCATAAAGTTTCAGTCTATTGTCTCAGGGATTAGCTTTTGTCCAAATTGTTACTTTTTTATCCTTTGCCAAACAGTCACATTCTTGCAATGCTTTCCCAGAGTGTGACATTAGGTGATGAAGAGGCAAGTCGGAGGGGTGTCCAAAAAACAGTGTTGGAAAGGAAAGGACCATCAACTTTTAGCTGTGGAGTTGAGATAATTTCCAAGACTGAGTTGCGAGTTCATCGTAATTTAGATGCGACAGTAGATGCCTTACTTTCAGGTTTTGTATTCCACCTACACAAAATAATTTTTCTGTTGCAATATTCATTTCCAATTTTTTAATTTACCATCCTGATGGATATTGATATGACATTTGCTTCATTAATTAATTTTCTGTTACTTCTATCTTGAGAAGGCCATTACCCAAAATTTGAGGTTCGGAAGATAAATCAGGGATCAGAAGATGAAGCCGATCAAAGGCCTTTCATTTCTGATTCATCTGAGACAATAGCTGAAAGTGTGGTTGAAGATGGCTTGGAATCGAATGATGGTCCACTTGACTATACAGAGTTTGGTTCAGAAGCAAAGTGTTGTAAAGATGAGGATGCCCTATGTATATTTCTTTATGGGGTGAGAACCACTATCACACAAGCAGACTGACCTTGATTCACTCTTTTCTGAATCCATTAAAACTGATAACATTAGGTTTTTAATATTTAGTAAAATCTTTTATTGTGGTAACAAGAATACATTCTTATCTACAGAGATCTTAAAACTTGATCCACAACTCTGAATTAATAATTGATTACTGCAAGCAACCATAGTTTCTGTAATCTGAATTCCAGCCCAAATGTGGCCATAGTATTTGTGAAGTTGTTTTATCCCTTCTCGAATTAATTGTCAATGACTTCATGGTCATTGGTTCTCTAGGTCAGCTAATTTTTATGCAGTTGGGAAATAGCATGATTTTGCCATTTTTTGATTATTTCTACAAAGTGTTCTCTCGAATATTTTGGGCTTCAAATGGAAGCAATAACCCCAACTGTCCCTGGAGACAAAGCAGATGACAAAAATAGAACAAGAAATAATGGAAAGAAAAGAAATAGATTCTGGAATTGTACCTTATATAGGACCTTATTTTTGGTTTGGTGGAGAATGAGAGAGGGTACAAGGGAGATGGAGGTTCTTTTCCATGTAGCCATCCCCCCCTTGTCAAAATTATAAGAATGCTGAGTTGTTTCTTCTTCTTCTTTTCTTTCTTTTCGTTGGGGGAGGGAGGATGTATAAGATCTTTCACGTATGTATAGTTATAGATTGAATTACATCTTGCTTCTTAGGTGTTTGACTTCGTCCTCCTGCGTTCATAACACTCAGGTTAATGGTTTACCATAGTGAAGAAGTAAAAATGTAAATATGTTAAAGATATCAATATAAGCCTAGATATTTGAGTAGAAAATGCGTAGAAAAATCCCAAGATATTTGAGGACTTATGTGCTCTGAAGTAGTTGAAATAATATGAATCCACTTTTCCTTCCTGTATTTATCTAATCCTGGTATAGAAAGTTTAAATAAACCTTTATGTTCAAAACACAAAATATTTTTAAACTTGGTGCTAAGTTTCATTTCTAAGGACTGTGACCTGGATAAAAATGGGGGCCTGACATTTAATATGTTTCTATACTAGTTGACACCTCCTCTAATTATGTTATCTGGGGAGTTTTCACAGGTTCAGGGTCTGGAAATGGATATAATCAAATCCATCTGATGATATACTTTCAACTTGTCAATATGGTGAAAAATATCTGCTGTATCTTGCTTAGATGCTTTATGAAACCTGTAGCATATCGAACTTATACTATTGAGTGGGTCGTGTAGATATCAGAGGCAAGTATGATACAAGGGATTAAACAGTTAAGCATTGATGATTCAGTTGAATTTACTGACAATATCAGCGAAGCAGATGTAATGCTTGCTTTGCAGTCTAAGCTCAAGAAGAATTCTCGGCTTCAAGCTGCCGCAAGATCTCATGGCATTCCTATTTATGTCGCAAAGGTAAATTTGTCAATAGTAAATGTTCATCATACAATTAATACATAAAATAAAAATGATACTTGGTTCTTATCTTATCTTCCCAGTTTTGTTTCCTTCGTTTGTGTCATCTTTTTTCTGGACATTCATTTTTCTTCCTTTTCCCCATTCCCTCTGCAGGCAAACTCGTTGGCACAGTTAACAAAAGCCATACAGGCTTTACTAACTGATTATGCTGATGGTTATGACTCTTTTGAAACTGAAGCTAAGGCAAATGAGGCAGAAAAAATTGATGCCTTGGAGGTAATCCCAAAGTTCTCTCTCATAAATACACGAACATATTCATATATTCGTACATAAAAATGTTTTTTCTTGTACAAATCATGTGTTATACACTAAATTCTTGCTTATGGGCATCTTTAGTTAGTAAACTAATAAAAAGGCTAGCTATTGCAAAGTGGTTGCTTGCTTTTATCTCAATCAATTGATGATTGGAAAATAAGGATAGTTTTATGGGATAAAAGGTGTATCTTGCTTTTATCTCAATCAATTGATGATTGGAAAATAAGGATAGTTTTATGGGATAAAAGGTGTATCTTGGGTTCAATCTCCGTGACGATTCAATTTACTACATTATGAGGGTTTATTGAGTAAATTATGGTTTGTGCAGCCAATAATAATTATGGTTTCATCTTGCTTGCAACTTCATGAGTTCTTTTGTTTTTGTTTTTTCTCCTTTTCATAGGAGGCAAGAGTAGCCATTGAGCAAATAGTGATTCCAAAAGGAGAACCTGTAGATCTACTTCCCCGGTCTTCCAACATTATGTTGCTGCAGAAGGATCTCATCCGTAAATACAAGCTTAAATCAGAAAGAGTTGGTGGTGAGCCAGATGTACGTCTTCGTATAATTCCTTTTCCGAGCACGGGAAATGAAGACAGCAACACAAGTGGAGTTGATGATGCGGCTCAAATCGATGAATTATACAGGACAAATGCTGAAACAAATGGAGCTGCCTTCACTGTTGATAGATTACCTCTCCTTCCTGACTAGGGGAGAAGGTACATATTTTGATTCTTTGAACCTTCACTCCTTTCTCCATAAAATGTAAAATACAAAACAAAGCCATGTTACACTACGGTATTCCCTGAAGAAAATTCTGGAAAGAAGTGGGGCAATCAATTAAAAGCTTAAATTAACCAAATCAAGATGGAATTTTTAGTCTCTTAATTAACAGTGAATTCACAAATTAAGCAACTAGCATAACTAAGCAAACGTAGTTCACAGTTGAACAACTTGATTATTTAGCATTGTTTTAAAAATTTGCTCGAGAAACTCCTACATGGGGAAAAAAATGCAAAATTGTGCCATAGAAACCATTTTAACTATGTTGGGCAAACTTGATTCCCTTTTCAATGGAGGATTTCAGCTCCGGCTTGAGAGCTTCAAGGCCTTGCTGCTCGAAGTCAGACAGCAGACCCAAACCTAGGACTTCCTCCACACCATTCTTCCCTAGTTTCACCTGGTATTGCACACAGCACTGAAATTAGTTGCCAATCACAAAAGAACAAAATGGGGAACCAGCAGCCTTTTGGAGGTGAGGCAAGAGAGCAGCAAAAATAAAAGGGTAAAGGAGGGTAATGAACAGCCGTTTGTCCACCCACGTTTTCATTAAATTAACATTCTCCACTTATCCTTGACTAGCTTCACGGACAATACTTTCCACTTTTGGAAAATTTGTGGTAATTTTCAATAGCCATCATAAGCTAAGGTTATTTGTGAAGTTAAAAGAAATGGTCATACTCATGGTCGAGTAACAGCGTGCATGAAGTGGCTTCTCATTGCATCATGAAACATACAGCCTTTTTTCCAGAAATTCATTTCAAATGAAAGCTCATATATGCGACATGATTAAACAGACCACTTGCCATGAGATTCCAACTGAAAGTTATCATTCTCTCAATCACAAATATCAACTCATCTTGCACAAAATATTTGAACTCACCTTGGATGCAAAGAAAGGTAACTCGGTGACAGTTGACTGCACGAAAGAACATTCCACAACATCTGGGACCCCATTAAGTCCCTTCAAGCAAGCATCGGCAAATATGGCTCCCGCATAGCTGACCAAAACATTGCGCTATCAGAACATATTAATCGAATTAACCAGTCAAAAGCATAAATAGCAAAATGTTACTAATATGCGTCTTGGGTGGTTTAGAAACACATTTTCCCACCTAGTTAAGATGTGGCAGGTCCTCTTTAAATTAAAACGTGATCAATTTTAAGGAGCTTCAGATGAGGCAATGCGAATTTTTTACCATAAAGAATTTCTATACTGTTAGCTGTTATTGATGAAGTAAAAGGAGTAATTGCTAATACATTCATATTGCTAATATACCAGAGTTTGGCATGAATATGCCAATTTCCAATTCGCTAGTGCTCCCAGACCTAGCAGTAAATAGAATGACTGTACCTTTATTGGTCATGTGACAAAACGGAGACGCTTTCTATGTAGTAGAATAAGACCATTCATTTTAATTTGGAACTTAAAAGGCTTTTATGAGTGGTTATTTGAAATTGACAAACAGCAACCAAATATAATGATGTGATGTTGAAGCCAAAGTCATCTAGATATAGAACAGACTGCATTTACATCTTGTGTGTAAGTAATTATTCGGAAGCGATTTTTTGGAAAATGTTGGTTAAAAAGTAGGGAAAAGTTAGGGGGAAATGTGAATTTTTTATTTTTTGGGAGAATTTGTGGTTCAAAATGAGTGTGGAAAAAAGCGATTTTCAAAAAATCACTTCCACACAAGCACTACATGAAATCTAATGTTCAAACCCAAGATTATACAGGGAAAAAAAATGAAAGAAAGAGCACCGAGAACATTCAGAAACAAGTGAAAGCACAGCTCTTACGCCATTGAGAGTGTAGCTGATCCCTTTCCTGCCTTAGCTTCAACAACTTCTGTTCCGCCATCTTGTGTTCGTTTCGTGAGAGCTTTAATGTCTTCATCAGATATATTGGCTTTTGGTGTGGCCTAATATCAAACATCAAAACACAAGTGTCAGCCTATATGAGGCGCACACATAACTTCCTACATTTCTCCAATTATAGTAAAATAAGCAAAAATGGGAAAATCAACACAAAGGGAGTACCTGTGAAAATAATGGAAGAATTGTTATGCCTGCATGACCACCAACAACAGGTACATTGACATCTGCAACAAAGAGAAAAAATATAGGCAATGATCAATATTTTTAACAATGCAAAAAAATGTTACAAGCTAGCAAGCGCTACTCTGTAAGTTCATAAAATGTGCACTAACCTGCCACATTGACTTTGGCCTTGCCCGCATAGAATGTCTTGGCCCTAACCACATCAAGTGTGGTCACGCCCAACAATTTCTTCTCATCATATACTCCTAGTCCCTTGAGGACCTCAGCTGCAATTGGGACAGTGGAGTTCACAGGGTTGCTAATCATAGTGACTAGTGCCTGATTGAAACATTCAGTGTCATTAAGTCATGGGTAAAGTTACATAATTGAAAATCTATGGATGCAAAGAAAGGCAGGCTCACATTTGGGCAATACTTGCCGATGGCGGTGCAGAGAGCTTTGACGATGCCAGCATTAATGTTAAAGAGGTCATCTCGTGTCATGCCAGGCTTCCTGGGAACACCAGCAGGAATGATGACAACATCAGATCCCTCCAGAGCCTGTTTTAGCTGGTCATCTCCCATATATCCAGTCACCTATGCATACAAGAATATACATGGATAAATTATGTCAGCAAACAGTGCAAGAGAATTTGTGAGAAACAAACAAGCAAACAATTGAAAGTACACAGCTTGTAATTTCATAGATTGATATGAAGATCAAGTATGAGCACACAGGAATAGAAAGAAAAGGTTAACCAAAAATCATTTAATATTTCCGATCCTAAGCAACCAATCAGTATCCCAAAGAATTTGAGAGAAAATGACAGAGAGATTTTACAGTTGCAGTGTTTCTCTTTACATGCTCCAGTACTCATATTTACAACACGAGTTCATGAATTCTATTTTTAGTTGAATATGAAAAATAAATAAATAAGAACTCTTTTCCCAGAAAATTTGGTTCAACTTTATAATTTCCTCGGCCGAAGTTTCTATTACAAATCAAAACAATCCTTGTCCATAAATTTAGTATAATAAGTAGTTGAACTTAAAATCCTACAAAGCTCTACAAAAGAAAACGCGATAAAATAAATCAAGCCACATAAACCAACAGATATTAGGCACACAAACCAACCAGCCAAAAAAGAAAGAACGGTCTAAAACCCTTAATAAAATATCGAAATCAAAAAAGAAAGAAAAGCAAAGCAAAAACTACCAAAAAGAGCAGCGAGTTAAAATAAAGATAAACAGTTACAAATAAAATCTTAAGGGACCTCAGATCTGGTGTTAATGTGGCTGACGTCAGCGGCGACACCGGGGGTGCCGGCAATGTCGTACAGGGCCAAGTTAGAGACGAGCGGGTTCAGCTTCATGAGCAAAGAAAGCGGCTGGCCAATCCCTCCGGCGGCTCCAAGAATGGCGACTTTCCGCTCCGGCACCAACTCTGACGAGAAGCCACGGCGCAACACATACGATGACGACGGAGCAACTGTAGAGTTTCTCCTGAGAAGGAAGCTTAATATGGCTGCCTTCATTCTGTGATCCTTCAACTGTACTGTAAAAGTGAGAGTATATAGAGAAGGAAAATTCAAAGGAGCCAAAAAATGAATTGACGAATAGTGAAGGTCCAAGGGGAGCATATATATTTATGGTTGGTGGGGCCCGGTACTAGTAATTATTAATATATAATTGCTATTAATATTAATATTTGATTTTGATTAAATGCATGCTTTTTCATGGCTTGCTATTTGATTAAATGCATGCTTTTTCATGGCTTGCTATTTTGATTGCAATCAGCATCCGTTTCACAGAAGTGTTATCGACCCTCACATGAGGTGAATCTACCTCATCGAAAAATGATTCGAATTAATTTTTTATTTTCATACACATAATTGATGAGATGGGATTGGCAATCAAATAAAAAAAGTTTCGTCGCTCTCTTTTAACGCCTCATTTTTTATAGTAAATCATTATGTAGGAGTAAAATTATTCAAAAGATTTAAATACTTCAATATCCTATTTATATTTAACACTTATTTTTTCTACTCTCAATATTTTTCCCTATCTTTTATTTTTTACTTACTTCCTTCCATATTATTTTATTATTTTCCTTCATCGAAAATTGAAATACTTTGAATTCAATTTAGTTACATAGAGCGAGTTTAGTTCTCTAAATTTAGAAAGTCAAACTCACTGTATAAATTAAAATGTTGATTTGAAAAATGTCTTCAAACATAATTTTAAGGGTTGACTTTTTTAAATAAAGAGTATCTTATATTTTGGATATACGCCATGTTTGAGTCAAATTATTGTAGAATGAGAATGAAAATATAGCCGTTATTAGGGCTCACATAAGAGATAGAAAATTTGAATTTAAATATTGATGTGATGGATAATGGTCATATTTTTCATTTTAATAAAATAATAATGTAGATCAAACGGAATAACCTTATATCAAATTGAGATGCTAGGATCTCGATATTATAGAGTTGTAAAGAACTCAAAGACCGATTTTAAGAAACATAACCTCGCTCACAAATTTTCGAGAGAACAAAGAAAGTGCGATCTTCTTAAATTTTGTTTGGGTAATGTATATTTCTCCCTTTTTTATGCTAGTACACCCTTTATACTCCTGACCCCAAGTGAGCCTTCCTCTATGGATATTACATCACCAATCCGTTCCACCAAAATTGAGTATTACAACACTCAACTGTACCATTCAGGAATCGAACTCCCCACCCTGAGATTGCAAGTCTAGCAGTGTCCATCCTTTGCCAACTTGGATGTGCCCCCGGGGGGCATATTTCTCCCTTTTTTATGCTAGTCTTTGTGGTTGAGATGGAAGATTCTTTTTGCCCTTTTTAAAAGGAAAATGTAAAAGTGAAAAAGAATAAAGTAAAAGAAAATATCAATATCAACACCATTGATTTCCTTCTATCTTTTGGGATTTTTCCTTGGGTAGAGAAATTCCAGTGAAGATTACTTTCTAATTCACATTTTTCTTATAAAAAAAGTATTAGATAAGACGAGTTAGATTTTCACAGAACTTGCTTCATTGTTCGATTCACGCTAACAAATACTTCTCACTCCCACGAGATAGAAGAAGGCGAACTTGTACAAAAGTGGCTTCTCACCAGGGACGGATGTAGGGGGACTGGGCCAGGCCGTAATATGGTCCAGTCACCGGCCCACTTCATTTTCTTTGTTACAACTTGTCTTAAACCAATATTCATTAGGACAGATTGATATGAACTGCCCTTACAGCATCATAAGAATAAACAAGAAAAATGTTTTGTCCTAAGACAATGTCAGCAAGACAAACTTGTATATCCATGAACCGGATGCTTTCGCTGTTATAAAAAGTAACAAAGAAAAAAAAGGGGCAAGCCTTGACGGCCTGGCCATTTCCTGTTGCATATGCGATTCCACTCAACTCGACCCAACCCGCTTGATCAAACCTCTGATGGCAATACATTTGAAGAGTGTGACAGACGTAAAAAGATTGTTATGTTAACTTAGGCACCAATCTTAAGCAATTGAACCCCATGCCTAACTTTCTAAGTTTCTAACTTACCAACCAGTAGTTGCATGAAATGGCTCAAATCATGCTTAAATGCCAAGACACAACTGAAAAAACTAATCCCATCACAAAACGCTTCATCCACATTCGGCCCGGCGATGACGGCAAAACCCTCATCGCATTATCGACGGATCCAACTCCTCTTACCACTCGCATTGTTTTCTGTGCTAATACTTGGGACGGTGCGTGTTTTTCTCGACAATTTGAAGAACAATCAGCTACATTTGCATTGGAGAGGTTTGAGCAGAAGATCATTTAGAGTGCCAATTAATGTTTCTGAAGACGAAATAATTAAAGATGGATGCAATGTTTTTGAAGGGAAATGGATTTGGGATAATGAAAGTTATCCACTTTACAGAGAAGAAACTTGCCCATTTTTGGTTAAACAGACTACATGCTTAAGGAATGGGAGACCTGATTCTTTCTATCAGAATTGGAGGTGGCAGCCTAACTCTTGCAATTTGCCTAAGTAATTATTTCTTACCCCATTCTACTCAACTCAATTTTGTTCTTTTGGTATTTCTTTAAAGAAACTTGGTATTAGATTGCCAAATGGAGCCAGTGCACTTGTTCAACTTCAAGTGGGCATGTAAAAATTTTAACCTCAAGTTTCACCCACCTGACTCGCTAAAAATTATGTGTCGGACTTTAGTACTACTTAACAAACATGCTCGTAAAGTAAATTTTTCATCGCTTAAGCTTTTAGACGAGTTTTTTTCACAATTTATTACTATTAAGGAAAGTTGTGTGATAAGTTGTTGAAATGGTTCAGATTTAATGCACTCAAGTTTCTGGAGATGTTGAGGGATAAAAGGTTGATGTTTGTTGGAGACTCAATACAAAGAGGCATGTTTGAGTCTATGGTTTGTTTGGTACAATCTGCAATACCTGATGGAATGAAATCTCTTACAAGAGTACCCCCCAGGAAAATTTTTGCAATTGAGGTAATGAAATTCCTTCCCCAAATCTCTTCTCAATCTCCCTTCTTTTACTAAAACAAAACACGAACTCTAACTCCTCCAAATAGGCTGTTTTGTCACTAGATTGATACCAACACAAGTTCACTTTCACTTTGATTCCAGGAGTTCAATGCGACAATTGAGTACTATTGGGCTCCCTTTATTGTCGAGTCAATTTCAGACCATGCAACGAACCATACTGTATTGAAACGCCTCGTGAAGCTTGATTCTGTTGCTAAACATAGTAAAGAATGGGAAGGAGTTGATATTTTGATCTTTGAAAGCTACGTTTGGTGGATGCACAAACCTCAAATCAACGCAACGTAAGAAATGCATATCTGAACTCACTCATTTTGGACACGTCCGTATACTTGTTACCGGCATAACTTATTAATGGAGCTCGTATATGTTTCCCCAGATATGGATCTGAGGACAACATTCAAGAATATAATGCAACAACTGCCTATAGATTGGCATTAGAAACGTGGGCGAATTGGATAGAATCCAGCATTAATCCTAAAACTCAAAAGATCTTCTTTGCAACAATCTCTCCAACTCATTTGTGGTGAGTTCCATAACTCCAAAATATAGGAAAATTCTTGCTGAATGTATGGCTTCATCACGTTGCATATATGTATTTATAAATTACGTAAGTTTATGTAGAATTTCTCAAGATTCAAAGGAAAATTTTCATGTGCAGGAGCTGGGAATGGAAGCCAGGAAGTGATGGTAACTGCTTTACAGAAACACACCCAATTGAAGGATCGTACTGGGGAACAGGTTCAAATCTTGAAATCATGGGAATAGTGAAAGAAATCGTGGGAAAATTGAAGGCTAATGTAAGATTATTAAACATAACCCAATTGTCAGAATTCAGGAAAGATGGACATACCTCAGTGTTTGGTGAACGGAAAGGCAAACTCTTGACTAAAGAACAGAGATCTGATCCAAGAAATTATGCTGATTGCATTCACTGGTGCTTACCAGGAGTCCCTGATTCTTGGAATGAGATTCTGTACGCATTGTTGTTACAAGATTATCAGGTTCCTCGTTCACCATTAAGTGAAGCAAAAACTCCGGTACCTTGAAAGCATGGCAAAGCAATCTCATTTTTCCCATTTGAGAGCTTAGAAATTGCAAAAGTCTCATCTTTTCATTTGGAAGTAGGATTTACACACACACAAAAAGCAGATTGTAAGATTTGAGCCCATATTTACCTCTTAAGCTTGTGCTTGTAAATTTATACAACTTACTGGGACAAACCAGAAGTTATTGTGCAGGGAAACACAGTAGAAATGCGGTGAAAGAGGAAAAGTAACAATTTCGGCACAGTGAAGAGCTTTATAAGGTTAATGAGGAAAGATTCAATTTATAGTTGAAAATTTTCAAGACAACAAATGTTTTCATGTTATTCGTTTGATATGTTGTCCGAATTATACACATATTATTCCTCAAGGACTTAATTGATCAGCTTGCATTAGTTTAGGTCCTCCTTTGTAATAAGGATAGTTTGTTTAGTTCGTTTTTCTTTTTTCCCTCTTTCCTTTCCATTTATAAATAGACTCCATTGCTGTATCGATTCGGTACTGAAATAAATAAAATTGTTGATTACATCTGTTTGAACATGGTATCAGAGCATTAGGTTCTGGATTTTTTAGAACTGTAAGCTACGAATTAATTAAAGAAGGAGGAGTTTGAGCTCAGGATTGAGCTGCAATGGCCGAAAATCGAAATATAGATCTGCTTCCTACAGAGCTCAGGTACGACCAGATGAATCAAGGAAATGGAAGGCAAATTGAAATGAATACTTCAGATCCGTTGTTCCTACATAGCTCAAATCATCCAGGAATGACATTAGTCACAACGCCTTTGACTGGGAAGAATTTTTTGGCGTGGAGCAGATCTATAAAAATTGCCCTTAGAGCTAAGATGAAGTTATGGCTTATCGATGGAAGTGTTGAAATACCTGAGAAGGCGTCACCGAACTATGAAAAATGGTTGAGCGTGAATTATATGATCACTTCGTGGTTACCGAACTCNAATGGTTGAGAGTGAATTATATGATCACTTCGTGGTTACCGAACTCAATTTCAAAGGAGATTGTTGAAGCTTTTTTATACACCAACACTGCTAGATAGTTATGGATGAAAATTGAAAAGAGATTTGAAACTTGTAATGGTCCTATGCTAAGTCAGTATCAGAAATAACTTCGTTTAATAGACTTATGCAATTTCTCATGGGATTGAATGATGAATTTGAACACACTCGAAGTCAGATCCTAGTTATGGACCCTTTACCACTAGTAAATAAAGCCTATTCTATGATCTAAAGGGTGGAAAAACAAAGAGAAATTCAGATATCCTATGGAGAACATAATGAAGTCGGTGCTATGAATGTAAAAACACAGGGGTATAAAAAGGTTGGAGGAGGCAGAGGATATGGTAGAAAGTTCGATATGAGCAAGGAAGAGAAGAGGAATCAATTTTGCACACATTGTAATACATCAGGACATAGTAGAGACTGTTGTTTTAAATTGATTGGATATTCGGACTGATTCAAACAACTGAGTGAGTAGAAAAGAAAATCTGGAGGAAGATTGTCTGCATATATGGCAAACTCACCACTTGAGATAGGAAGTGAAGTAAATACTGGAGGATTTGAAGATCAATATAAGAACATAAACATCCCAGAAATTGTCAAATAGGAACTCAGGAAAATGGTGAATGGAAAGGAAACTAGCACTGGTACTTGAAGCAGAGTAAATTTTGCTCACATAGACGATTTTGCAGGTTCATCTCTTAAACTTGAATTTAATTCAACTCTAAGTGCTTCCAGCTTAAAAGGATCTAAGTCGTGGATTGTTGACACTGGAGCCTCTAATCACATGTGCAATGACATTTCTTCTTTGAAAAATCCTATACCTGCTGATAAAACCATTCCAGTTTTCTTACCTGATGGTATTATAAATTTTGTTAAACACCTTGGCAGCGTTCGTCTACATGACAAACTCATCCTCACTGACACTCTTCACGTTCCTACATTCAGATTCAATGTATTGTCAGTGAGTAGGTTAACAAAAGCCTTAAAGCTGAAGTTTATTTTTATGAAAGATCATTGCCTTTTGCATGACCTGTTGACTGAGGAGAAAATAGCCATAGGAAGGCTGATAAAGAACCTATATGTGCTTGATGAGACCTCTTTCTGTGAATCCACTATTTAGTCATTCATTCCCATTACCTGTAATATTTTTTTTTCCAATAATTCTTCTCTTGTTGATAATAAAACCACCAGAGTTGAGTCAGTCACTCTTTGGCATAGAAGGTTAGGGCATGCTCAGGAAATGTTATGAAATATTTGAAAATGATGAATCCATTCAACAAAGAGATCATTTCGCCTTGTGATGTTTGTTCATTTTTTAAACAACATAGACTATCTTTCAGTAGTTGTGAAATTAAAACATCTGAAATATTTGACATTTTGCATGTGGATTTATGGGGACCATATAAATATAGATCTATTTGTGGGGCACACTATTTTTTAACTGTGGTAGATGATTTTAGTAGAGGCAATTGGACATTTTTAATCAAGCTCAAAACTCAGGTTCTTACTACTTTGAAAAATTTACACAAAATGGTTAAAACTCAATTTGAAAAATACATAAAATGCTTAAGGACTAATAATGGAACCGAGTTTACAAACTTTGAAATGAGGAATTTTTTGGCTGAAAATGGGATTCATCATCAAAAAAGTTGCCCTTATACGCCTCAACAAAACGGTATTGTTGAAAGGAAACATAAGCACCTCTTGCAAATAGCTAGAGCTCTTATGTTTCAGTCAAGCTTACCAAAATGTTTTTGGGGAGAATCTATTTTAATGGCAACACATATCATTAATAAACTGCCCACTACCATACTAAACTGGAAAACCCTTAAAGAGATTTTGCATAAGAAAGTGCCTACTTATCACAATTTGAAGGTTTTTGGATGTTTGTGTTACGCTACTAACACAAAGCCTTTCAAAGAAAAGTTTGCACCAAGAAGTTTTAAATATATTTTGCTGGGTTATAGCACAGGGCAAAAGGGTTTTTAAGTTGTATGATCTAATCAATAAACAAGTTTTTGTATCTGGTGATGTTGTTTTCCATGAGGAGGTCTTTCCTTACAAAGAGGCTCCTAATTTCCAGCCTCATGTACCTATGCCTGTATTTGATTTGTCCTTTGAAGAAGATCCATCTGTGATTGCTGACCTTGACAACCAAAATGATTTTCAACCCTTTTCTAATGGTTCTACTAATATTAACCAACCTGCGGCTACCTATCATCTTAGTCAGGAAAAGACAGGTTAATCAGATGATTCCATACCTTCCTCCTTAAATCAGATGGTCCATCATCAGACCATTCCTCTTCTTAGAAAAAGTAACAAACAGAAGAATGCACCTACTTGGATGCAGGATTTTGTGAGTAATTTGTCATATTCTTTTTCTATTCCTCTATATGATACATTAAAGTCCTCTTCACACACCCTAAATACATATCCTTTCCATAAATCTAAAAATTTTAACCCAAGTTACTATCATTTTCTGGCTAACCTATCTACAATTCAAGAACCAAAATCCTATAAAGAGGTTAGCACAATGGTTGATTGGATTCAAGTTATGGAGAATGAAATTGCAGCCTTGGAACAAAATGACACTTGGGAAATTGTTCCTCTACTTCCAGGAAAGAACCCCATTGGATCGAAGTGGGTTTATAAAGCTAAACTGAAGCCTGATGGAACTCTGAATAGGTGTAAAGCTAGACTAGTGGCGAAGGGGTATAATCAGGTGGCTGGAGTTGATTTTGTTGACAGCTTTTCCCCTGTAGCTAGATCAGTGACAATCAGGTTGTTTTTCTCCATCTCATCTGCAAAAAATTGGCCTATATACCAGCTGGATATAAATAATGCTTTCTTGCATGGTTTTCTGGAAGAAGAGCTTTATCTTTGGCCTCCCGAAGATTACAAGAATGTTAAGGAGGGTGAAGTGTGTAAACTAAAACGGTCTCTTTATGGTTCAAAGCAGGCTAGTCGACAATGGAATTCAGAATTTTGTAAGCATTTACAACTATATGGTTTCGTACAGTCTGCACATGACAATTGCCTCTTCATTCTCTGTTCAGATCATTTTATCATAGTCCTTCTAGTCTATGTGGATGATATCCTCATCACTGGAACAGATGGCAATGAAATCCAGAAGGTCAAGCAATTTCTTGATAATACTTTCACCATCAAGGATTTAGGCCTTGCTAAATATTTTCTGGGGATAGAGATAGCTCGTTGCTCAGATGGTCTGTACCTTAATCAAAGGAAATATGCCATGGACATTATTGGTTTGACGGGATCAAAACCTGTGGATATTCCACTGCCAAAGGGACATAAATTCACTGCAGATGGTGTCTCTTATCGACAACCTGATCGGTATCGACGGCTTATAGGTAGATTACTTTATCTTAATCTTGCCAGGCCAGATTTATCTTATGTCGTCCAACAGCTTAGTCAATTTGTTAATTCACCAACCGTTTCACACTAGGAATATGCTTTGCACTTACTGAGGTACATCAATTGACTATGTCAAAAGGTCTCTTATTCCCTTCCTCCAACAATTTCAAACTTGCAACTTACTGTGATGCAGATTGGGCCTCTTGCACAGACTCTAGGAAGTCTTTTACTGGTTATTGCATATTCTTGGGTGGTGCTCTTATCTCCTGGAAATTGAAGAAACAGCAAACAGTTTCGCGAAGCTCTGCAGAGGCTGAATACCGAAGCATGGCTGCAACTGTTTGTGAAATTCAATGGATCACGTATCTTCTTCAGGATTTTTGCATTGAGCTTCCTCTTCCGATTCCTCTCTCATGTGACAATCGGGCTGCCCTCCATATCAGTGCTAATCCTATCTTCCCCGAGCACCCGAAACATCTTCTTCAGGATTTTTGCATTGAGATGTGTCTTTCAATTCCTCTCTCGTGTGACAATCGGGCTGCTCTCCATATTAGTGCTAATCATGTATTCTATGAGCGCACGAAACATCTTGATATTGACTGCCATGTGGTTCGTAATCAGTACAAGGCAGGTCTCATTCTTCCACAGTATGTTTCTTCCAGTGCTCAGGTTGTGGATGTCTTCACGAAGTCACTTTCTTTTCCTCAGTTCAAGCTTCTTGTTTCCAAGTTGGGTTTGATGGATTTCCATCAAAATCCAACTTGAGGGGGGGATGTCCGAATTATACACATATTATTCCTCAAGGACTAAATTGATCAGCTTGCATTAGTTTAGGTCCTCTGATAAGTGTGCAAAAACACACTTATTCGGCACTTTTCTGTATTTAATTGGAATTGATATTGAGTTTATTTCTGTGCATAATTATGTAATTTTCATGTTTTTAGGCTAAAACTCCTAGAAGAAGAAGAATTGCGCGAAATGGAGAAGAAATGGACTAAAAATGGACAAAAAGGTGAAGTTGGGGACCATCTTCTTCAGGATTTTTGCATTGAGGTGTGTCTTCCAATTCCTCTCTCGTGTGACAATCGGGCTGCTCACCATATTAGTGCTAATCCTGTATTCCATGAGCGCACGAAACATCTTGATATTGACTGCCATGTGGTTCGTAATCAGTACAAGGCAGGTCTCATTCTTCCACAGCATGTTTCTTCCAGTGCTCAGGTTGCAGATGTCTTCACGAAGTCACTTTCTTTTCCTTAGTTCAAGCTTCTTGTTTCCAAGTTGGGTTTGATGGATTTCCATCAAAATCCAACTTGAGGAGGGGATGTCCGAATTATACATATATTATTCCCCAAGGACTAAATTGATCAGCTTGCATTAGTTTAGGTCCTCCTTTGTAATAAGGATAGTTTGTTTAGTTCGTTTTTCTTTTTTCCCTCTTTCCTTTCCGTTTATAAATAGACTCCATTGCTGTATCGATTCAGTACTGAAATAAATAAAATTGTTGATTCCATCTGTTTGAACATATGTTATTCGTTTGATAGTTGTTATCCACTATAGAATACTGCAATGTAAACATTTAATTTGAGCTCGCTGATGTTGGAACCATATGTGCTACATAGAAACACATAAATTACAGCTATGCAGCAATGGGATTGATGTGTCCCTATTTAGCAGGAAACAACTTTCTCGAATAATTCCTTCAGTGTTGGAACGAGAATTGCAACTAAATATATTGAACGTGCCTGGGAAGGGGTCGATAGCGTACCCAAAAATAAATAAATAAAGAACTGACCAAAAATTGGACCTCTTTCTACCACCACATCTGCACCACCAGTAAACATGATAATCCACAGTGATAAAGAGAACACTGATGGTAGTGAGAGTAACATCTGCTGCTCCTTTCCAATCAGTGGCTGCACTATGAAGACCTGGGCTGGTGTCCCAATATGTGTTCACTCAAAGCAATCTCCAACTACAAAATTAACAAAAAATAGTCCACTTCTTACCACCACGGCCGCCACCAGGCAGCAGAACTAAGATATTCGACAATAGTCAAGAGTGCACTGATAGCAGCGAGAGCAAAGCCTGCTGCTCCTTCCCAGAGAGTGGCAGGAGTTACGTGCCTCTATTTTAGAAACAAGATAAATTCTGAAATTTAATATATATCATTGGTTCCCCTATTTAACCAATCAACCAGCAAGCTAGCATTATCCATATGTGTGCAAACTATAAAATGAGGCCGTCTCGAATGATGTTAGGAGTTCATTGACATTATTGTTTCCCAAAATTTTTAACCCTTCAAGGAAATCACAAGAAATTCTCCAAAACCAGCACGATAAAATGTGTAACAATATCAAAGATAAGTGTAACGTTTTGGCCTACAAGGCAGGCCACGTGGCAGCCAGCTAAGCAAGATGTCACACAAGGTCCGCACTCCATTTCGCCTCGTCCCTTCACATGTGAGTAAACTTGTTACGTCAACATTGGTTCATGGATTCTTGCAATGAATGTCAATTGCGAGGACAATTGGGGACTATGTGAGCCAGACTGTACACCCTCATCTATTGCTGTGTGGGACATTCCCGAATGTTCAGGTACATCTCTTCAAGTAGTGCAAGAAATCAGACGGCGTATAAAGCTTGATATGCTGTAGAAAGCACTGATAAGGAATTTGTGGATCAAATTTTTTGTACAACCTGCTCTTCAATATATCACAAAAAATATCATAAAGTCTGTGTCCTAACAACAGAATATTTATCTGGAAAGAAATACATCAAATTCTTAAATTATCATATAATCTTGGCAACTCTGCTATCCATTATCTATTAGGATCTCCATCTGGAGGTGTAAGCCTAATAACCTTGGTAATGTTGACGTTTCCCAGGATCTGCAACCCTGAGAAGAAGATGTTGGAGCTTCATGAAATACTCGAAAAGTCCTAACTCTACCTTCTGACTAGCGTTGTGCATTTTAACCGGAATCGAACCTCTCAAACCGAAACTTAACCAAAACTATCGGTTCCCGTCTGGTTCCAAAAGAGGACTTTATCTTGTTTTCTAACTCTCCCTAGTGAATGTGCCATAAAAACATAATGCACCCTTAAGATTAAGGATTCCATAATAGGAGCACACTTTGCAATCTTATCATTCTTTTTTTCTTCTTATTTCTTTTTGCATTTTGTCACTTGAAACTCTATGTTTCTTGCTTTTCCAAATCCAATTATAATTTGTCAAATGGTTTGGATGCATTTACTAAAGTTGATGAGCCATCACTTAAAGAATAAACATAACAAGCAGAATCGATTTATATTTTTAATCATTAGTTTATCCTTCGAAATATAATTTTTTTTAAAAAAAAATATGTAATTGTGTAAAAATAAAATCAAAAAATATTTATATAATGAAGTAAAATGACTCGGCTTAATGTTAATTTGTGAAGAAATAGATGAATCAAAAAGAAAAAAAATATTTTTTCAGAGGAAAATGAAATTAGAAATTGAATAAAAAAATTTGTTAAAAACTAGTATGTGAAGTACTGCATAATGAGATGCATAGAGTATGATTTGTTATTTTCAATTATGAATATTTAACTATTTTTAATAGAGAAATTATAATATTTTATCTAAAATCAATTTTTTTTATCATACCGTAAAATAAGTATGTAAAGTATAAATTTGAATTAAAAATGCATCATATAAAGTGTAAATACAACCTAAATAGATCCTGTATTTTTAAAATTTCTCGTATTAATAATGATACGCACCTATGGGTGTCAACGAGCCAAGTCGAACAAAAATCCGGCCAAAAAATTGAGACTCGGCCCGAGCTTTTGGTTGGGCCTTAGTGGGCCAATCCGAGCCCGAACTAAGCCTGCTCGTTTTTTTTTCGTGCAGCTGTTTACTTTTTTTAATTTTTTTAAATGAAGCTCGGCCCGTGATATGGGCTTGCTCTGGCTCGGGCTTTTTGCGGACCCAGCCACGAGCAGCCCCATTTTGACATCCTTATACGTACCCGACTATACTTGTTTGTAACAAGTTATATATATATCACAATTTGTAACAATGTGGTTTCTAAATAAAACTCAAAACTTAACACAAATGTGTGTACATATTCAAATGATTATTACATATAAAACAAGCATCTCTTGTCTCCTATTACTATTTCATTTTATGGATAATGTTATTATAATCTTTGGTTTGAGTGCGAATGAACCTTCCCCTAAAGATGTACTCTCTTAAATTGTTCAAGTACTCAAATGGTACCTCTACACCTCAAATTTTCAATTAGTTATAATTTCAGTTAATTCCCATAATATAATCATTGATCTGATGCCAAAATTAGCATTGCAACATGTCAAGGTGATTGGTATTCTAAATGAAGCTTTTCCCTTTTAACAATAAAATTTAACCTCGTGTTTGATTTAGCTAAAAATTAAATTTTAATAGATTTTGATAAAAGTTGATGAACTGTATGGTTGAAAGCCGATGAAAATTATAAATTTCATAAAATGTATAGTTAAAAATAAATTTAAAGAAAAATGAATATAAAAAAAATGGGAAATGGGGTTAATGAACTTGTGACATGTAAGTATCCTCGGCTATTATAAAATAAGATTGAGAAACAATATATACATATAGAAACCATACAAGTTGATAACATTTGACATGCAATGTTGGGAAAAGGGTTACTCATGATTGAATATGTAGACCTTGGTATGATTAAAAAATGAATTATACTACATGTACAATATTTGTTGACAATGTTGATCGATAACATTCTATTTGACATTATCATATTCATTCATTTTAAAAAATTATTTTCTACACCACAAGTTTGGATTTTGACAACTTGTGATTGTCAATCGTGTTTGTACGCTTAGCTTTATTCTTAAAGGTATTGCATTTTGCAATTTAAGTTATAGTATAAATAATAACATGGAGCCCTAAAGCATCAGAAATATTTTTTTTTGTTTACAGTGAGAAATCTTATCTTGCACACTTGAAGATAATCGTATTTACGGTTCTCACATTTGGAGAGAACTGTGAGTAAGGTTCTCCTGCCACATCCACAAGTGAACAGTCTTATCTTGTCCACTATAGGTAGAAGAATAATTTCACCAAAAGTGTACTTAGAAAATGATGATTCATTGAACAAGAAATTGTCCACATGCTTACATAGTATTATTTTCAGTTGTCCCATATTCCTCTCAATTATTTTCCGATTGAATTTTTGTAAAGCTTACTAGAAATTGGGTCAATACCGACAAGTTTTTTTCCAACTAACTGACATGTGTCAATATCACAATCGGAATAGTTTAGCCTATGTTTTGGAGCCATTAATTATGGAGAATGCATTTTCGTGTCAAATCAATAGGGTTGTATTGGTAAAGGATCATAATAAAATTCAATTTTCTAATTTTACTTTAATTTCCTTGTTTTATTTAACTTACGGGTTGTGAGAGTGATGAGTCGAAAGCAAAAAGTTCAAAGTAGAAATCGAATGTAAAAAATTACTATGCAACGATTCGAAATTGTTTAAAAATAGACCTAAAATGGGCTACAAACAGGGGCACATGTAATTCGTCGGGAATTCGTTGGTGTCTAGTTTGTACTCTAATCAAACAACTGTTATTTTATTTTTATTTTTTTTACGAAAGGTTTTCTTCTTACATTTTTAGTTTACTTGAGAAATAATTATCACCTATCTTATCTTGGAATTAGCGACCTTAGCCCTATTTGGTTTAGTTAAAAATTGAAATTTTAATAGATTTTGATAAAAGGTTGTTGAATTATGTGATTGAAAAACTGATAAAAGTTGTAAATCTTAAAAAATATGTAATTAAAAATGAGTTTCAGAAAAAATGGCGTCGAACATGGGCTAACTTGTCAAAAACAAATTCTTGCTTGTCTAACTCGATAATCTAGTTAGCAAATAATTAATTATTGATGTCATCTTTTATCGGTCAAAATTATCATATCGATGAAGTGATCAAATACTATTATTAAAACTTAATAATGGATTAATCTATTTGAACATAATGGATTACTTCATCTCACATAATGCATGGGACTCGCGTGTATTTAAAAATTTCGATAATGTGGTTTCCGTCCTCATTGTGAGCAGTATGTAAAAAATTCGATAAAAAAATTCGGTTCATTCATCACGATGTGGGTTAGGGTCTTGGGGTTTAATAAATTATTGTTACATAATTTATGTAAATGAATAAATTATATTAGGGTGGGAAATTGTGGACAACTCAAATAAATTTTGGCCACGTGTCAATCAAAAAGGTAAGCCATACTTACCTACAGTGCTTCATAGACGACTAGATTCTACAGAGCAAAGGCAGTGATTCTGCTGACCGGGCAGGAATGGGGAGGGTCGGATGGTCATCATTCCACGTCTCTGCCAGCACAGATGATAGCTACTTCTCTGATGGCCTGACAGTTCCGTCTACTTTGCCGGAATATCCGGGGTGTCCCCCTAAAGCCGTTACTTCTTCCCGTTATCCGCTTAGCTGGCTGCAATTTGCAGAATGGGCCAGCTGGCAGGGAACTAGACAAGCACATGGCCAGCTACTTCTGTCCGGATAATGATCCGAACTTCTTAAAATATCCCTGCTTACGATCCATATTCGCTGAAATACCCCTCTTCGAGGTTGACATTTATGTCACTTTCTCAAGGATATCGAAGTATTGTACCCTTACGAGGATACAAATATAAATTAAGAGTAATGATATCTCCTTCCACACTCCAATTTAGATGGTATCAATTTATCATTAAATGATATGTGAAATTAAATTATTCATTTAATTTTATTTTTCATTTATTCTATCATTTAGTACCACCTATATTGTGGTTATAACTCTAGTGAAGTTACGTAGCATTACTTATGAACTGCACAATTTGTACATTCCTTGTGTACATTAAGTTCAACATTTCAATACGTGTCAAAATATATGCTATTAATAATTTATAATGTTGTTAAAATTAATGTATAAAAAATTATCACCTCACAACAATATCAAACTTGATTTACATGTAGCAAAATTGTACACATTTGTTTTAAACCATATTCGTAAATCGTAAATCTGAGAGCACTTTCGGGGTACTAATGGAAACTGAATTTCATGGTGAAATTAGGGGCAAATTGGGAATTTTGATCTGCGTACGAGCCCCCTCATTAAATTTTCTTATTTTCACTGAAAACTTGGAAAGTTCAAAATTTTTTGCCTTGGTTTAACAATTATTATTTTAAAACGATTCACTTCTCATACTCATTTTCAATCATATATTTACACAATAAAATATATAACATGTAAGCTTACAATTTTTCACCACTTTTTAACCACACATTCTCCAAAAATCACCATTTCAAAACTCTATTTCTTCAAAATAATAACCATCGAACGGTTTAAAACTCCAATATCTTACAAAGCATGTTACTTCTCGTCCCACAAGGCTCTTATCATTGATCACGTAATAGCCAACCAAAAGGCACATAAGGTTCGCACTTTACATAACTTGCTTACCTAATTAATCAAGATCATCAAAATTGAAGAAGTCGAAGTATCATATAGAGGTCGAATCTCTATGTCCGAGACAAGGTGTTGTGATATGCTACATCCTATTTTTGAACGACATGCCTTTGTTCCACAAGGAATCTTTCACAACTTCGCCGCATCGAAGAATCCTCCTTACATGATCTTCTATATGATTGGCTGGATTGACATCTCCAAAGTAGATGTCACTATATCAACTTTTTAATCTATTTTTCAGATATCAAACTTAAGTTATAGAGTGACTCTTTTCTATTTAATGTCGTCTCAACCTGGAATAGCAGAGGTAATGCCCATGAGGAGACGCATCGATCGTTAGGATGAAACCACGTGTCATCCATCCCACGGTATCCACCTATTTCCTCATATTATAAAAGTTCACACTTGATGCCATTTACAGGTAATGCAATTTTACGTTCTCAATAGTAACTTTGCTTAGTATTCTTTTCGACCTACACACTCTTGTGGTTTTCATTCATCGTCCATCCCGCGCTTAAAAAAAATCTGTAATCATTAGAGTATTCACGCCGTCTCTCTCATCAATGGAGAAGGCCACATTCGTCTAGAGTTTATCCAAGTGTGCATGAGTCTTAAACATGGATGGAAGTGAAATTAAAATTGATTGACTATGTCGTCGAATCGAAAATCGAGATTAGCTAAGCATAGTCGCAATATTGTTAAATTTGAAATATTTAAAGATTTTGTGAAGCGGAAGATTGAGGCAGCATCCCAAACCAAACTGTTTAAAAGTGTATGGTCAATTTGTGGGTTCTTGTTTTGTTTTATGTCGTGTTTTTACGGGCCCACTCGTTTGGGAGCGAATCATGCATGGTCAGCCGCAGCCATAAATGGAAAGCGAATCGACTAGCCTAAAATTAAACAGTAATAATAGCGCTGAAATCTAACATTACCGGCGTGCGTAAAGGCGTTGCCTGCGCGGCAGCGCCAATCTCCCACGATTTATTTATTTATTGTGTCATTTAGTTGGGGAGAATAAATTTTGACATTTATTTTTTAATCCATGCAGTATCCACAGACTTGTACACGATATTAATGGAATTGATTTCAAATATGTAGAAATTAAATATTTAATTTATTTTTTCTATTCATATAAATGAATGAATTCTTCGCAAATTTCCATTACAAATTCCACTACAAAAATTAGACGGAAACCTTCCAAATAAGGATATTTTATACGAGTTTGGTTTGCGTTGCATGTCAATCTTCACCGTTCGATTTGCTCGAGTGTCCATTAGTACAATATTGTAATAGTTACTTCAAAGAAAAACAAGATCACATTGCGTACACTCCGAGAAGATTAGAATTTGAGAATTGCACAACAAATGATGTGAATTCAATAAAAAGAAAAATACTAGCAACCTATGGTTGCTATCTTTTATATGTAAGAACTTAAATGGTCATGAATGTTTTGGCCCCACAATTCATATTACACCAAAGTCGAAATTTCAATTATAATATTCTCTCGTAAGTAGAAAAATAATAGCTCAATTATCTATAACCAAAAAATGCCATACAATGAGTAAATTTTTTTGTACCTTTGAGCCCCATTTTTGTAAGAAATGAATTTTGCAATACTTATTTTATTTTTAGAATGTATAATTAAAAAGTAGATAAAATTTTAGGTATACGTACAAAATTATTTTATTAAGCCCCTGTTTGACTCTCTTTATTTCAAAACTCTCATACTCATTTTTAACCACGTATTTACATAACGAAATATTTTACACGTAAATCCAAATCTTTTTTCTACTTTTTAACAAGACGTCATTCAAAAAATTACTATTCAAAACTTCATTTTCCTCTAATTTCTCTTCATAATGGCCATCAAACAAAGGCTAAAAAGAATTTGAGAAAAAAAATGAGTTTTTAGTTAATGGAGTCAAACATGGGCTTAATATCACGATTTTACCAATGATACTTTCAAAACGAGCATGCATGAAAAAATCTCAGAGCGTACTATATATGTGTTACATTAGTATTATTAATTGTCTTTGACTCGATCAAATATTTATTTGTAGCGTAACATGTCTAAAATTACAAGAATTCATATTGTACGCCAAAGTCGAAATTTCAATTAAAATATTAATTATAAACCAATAGCTCAATTATTTATAAAATTGCATGAGTAAATTTTACGTATCATTAAGTATAATTTCATTAATAATATTTTCAAAACGAGTGTGCAAGGATAATGAAAATCTTAGAGCGTGATATATTTTATGTAAGTATCATTGATTCTCAATCAAATATTTATGAATAATTCGCCAATAGTTATGGACAAAATTACGAACAATCTTCTAAATATACAAAATGGTTTCTTCTTACGCTAATGAAAATGATGTAATACTCGAGATTTTCATACTCTACCGAGCGTTAACTTTTTTTTTATCATGAACTATCGTAACTTGTAATTATGATTTAAATTGTTCATGAAATGCCCACAAACACGGTCATCTACGAGTCTAGGCTACAATATTTATGTTTGTACCAATCGAAAAATGATATATAGGCGTAAATCATCGTACATAAAATAAAACAAAAATGCTAAATGTACACACCTTGGTGCACATTCACTTTCACTTTCACTTTCACATCTCTCTCACATAGGGGGCGATGCTCATTTTCAAGTGAGAGAGATGTGAAAGTGAATGTGAATCAAGTGTGTAAGTTTAGCATTACTCGAAATAAAATGTCGGTTCACGTGAGTTTTACTTGAAAAGACAGATGAGTTTCATAGATTGGTACAAACCTCAACTGAATAATAGTACAACAATTTAGTTTTTACCCCAATCATTCAATGAGAGTACATGTCTGAAAATAATATTTGATATTTGCTCAACAATTCATATTGTCCCTGAGTCCAAATGGGAATTATAACATTTTCTTATATAGAAACAATGTCTCGATTGCATATAAAAATAAATAAAAATGCAGTGAGTTAATTTTATATATCATTAAAATTTTATAATAACGAGCAACCACGGTTTATTAACAATGGTTTGCATGGATCGATGATGAAAATTTCAGAGGACGATGTATTTTACGTTTGACTTTTCATTCAAATATTTATGAGCAAAATCTCGAGTAATCTTGACTTTTAACTTTTTTATTACACGAGATCCACGTAATTTAGGAACGGTCAATGTTGCATCTAAATTCAACACCTAATGCATGTACTTTAGTCACGTATAGATGGGAATTCTTCTAATTTAGTTTTTATGTTTCTATTCTTGCAAGCGAATAGAACAAAATCTATTCATACCCTAGTTTAGTAACACTTTTCATGTACCTTTGACAATTTATTCATCGTCTATGTTATTCAATACCATTATACAAATGCATATTTAAAATCAGATTTTTAGTAAATTTCGATAAAATTTGATAAAATGTGTAGTTGAAAATTTGTGGATCACACGAAATATGTGGTTAAAATTAATTGTCAATTTCGACTTAAATTAAAATTAAAATTTTAATTTTTAACCAAACCGGAGCTTAGTAAATGATACCAAACATAAGTTAAAACACAAAGAATTAGACGAAGATTCTATCACAATTTTATCAAATCACTTTAAAACGATTTGCGCGTATAATGAAAATCTTAGAATATGATAGATTGTACGTAAATATCATTAACTATCCTTGACTATCGACACAAATATTTATGAGCATAATCTCGAAAAATATTAACTTTTTTAAAATTCCATTTGCACAAGATCCCCATAATCCAATGATTGGTCAAAGTCGCACCCAATTTCTAACACTTTAAGCATGTTTGTAAATTGTTTATAATTGGTTTAAATTTTAAATCTTCTATATATTAAAAGTGACTATGTAACGGAATTTTTTGTTTTTAACGGAAAAACTAACGGAATTTGTTGTTTTAACGGATTATGTAACGAAATTTATTGTTTTAACGGACAGCTGCACCTTCATTCAGTATTTTTATCATAACTTTGTATTCTGATATCCGATTGGGGCGATTAAAAATGCATTGGAAAACTAACTCATCTGGC